AAAAAAAAAGGCATTTTTATAATGGTTATACCTCAGAATATATTTTTACAATTGTCACGCATTTAATTCAGCGGCCTCTGGTGTGTTTTGGCTCCCTCTCTAGGTGGATTAATAGAATTTTTTTTTATCTACTGTGTTGCATTGGTAACTACTCAATAAGCATATTAAGAAAATCCTCTGGTGTTGACATCTTTTTCACTTCCATTCTCTTTCTTTCACTAGCTCCCTCTCTTCCTCCTTCCATGTGTTTGTGTATGTTCTCTCTGTACTGAGCTGTTTTCCATTCTATCGAGGTTTTTTGCTTAGTTTTGCTTTATATGATATTTTTTGCTCATCACTTGCACTTGCAATGTCCTGGAAGTGCGTCAAAGAATGTTAACTTGTATGAGTAATGTGACCAAACTGAATTTGCAGTAAGAAGGGGCGCTTCAAAGGAAGGCTCTTTAACCGTGTAATAAAGAACTTTGTCATCCAAGCAGGCGACGTTGATAGACCTGGAACAACTGAAGATTGGACTTCAAAGGGAAAACATTATAATCAACTCGACACAAGGTATGATCTACCTCAAATCTTCATAAGTTCTTTTTGAACTCATTTAGTCTTTAATGTGCCTTTGCTATTGAAATGTACTGAATTAATAATGCTTGACTAGCTTGAAGCATGAAGCTTTTATGCTTGGTACTTCCAAGGCAAAACAGGATGGCAGTGGATTCCATCTTTTCATTACAACTGCACCAATTGCAGATCTAAATGAGAAAATTAGTGTATTTGGACGAGTTGTCAAGGGTGAAGAAGTTGTACAGGTTAAACATCTTTGCTTATTTTCAATGCTATTACGCACACTCCTTGTGCATTTCTTCATTACAAGAACTGGATCAGGCCTGCTAGCCTGTATATCACCATATATCCATTTCTTGACCTAGAACACTCTTAAGATGGATATTAATTCCACTTACATACTTTCTTATGTCTGTGTCATTGCCTTTCTCTTGCATTTCTGAGTTTAGATTATGTCATGATGCATTTGCTGAAATCATTTAATACTTTTGAAGATTGATAATAAGCCGTGATGATCAAGTCTGCAACGAGGATGCCAAATATCCAGTGCTTGATTAATGCAATTATCTGCATTTCAACATGTTACCTTGTAGGTCCAAATATGCTTTTTCTGTAGCATCTGGAGATATGTTAAGAACTCGACATAAACAAAACTTATATCGACTTAAGCTGGTGATAGCTTAACTAATAAATCTTGATTTCCCATGAAAGAGAGCAGTTAATAAATCTCTGTGGCGTGAACTTTTCAGGGTGGTTATTTCATTAGTTTTTCTTTTAGTGCATATTATTTGTTAACTTAGATCACAAGGAGTTGATGACAAGATTTTCTGTTTTTCTGCTCTACATTTCCATGTTTTTTTTTCAGACGTTTGTTGCGTGTGAAATTCGATGATTATATACTGAATGCACAATTGTGACATGATATTCAGGAAATTGAAGAGGTGGACTCAGACGAGCATTATCAACCTAAAACACCTATAGAAATCACCGAAGTGACTTTGAAACAAAAGATCTAATGGATGTTAGTTGGGTTTTGTGACTACTTTCTGTTTATATGATGAAGCTGTCGACGCCATCAAAGACTGCTTCTTATAGTAAAGTTGAATTGTTCTTTATCACCTTAAGTGCAGGTTTTAAGTCCTCACTTCTTAAGCACAAGGATTTCGTTTATCCTGTTTGTATTTTTTCTTTGTTATTGTTTTATTTTCTGAGTCTGTCTGTTGATACCAGAGTTCTTTTTTGCATTCCTTCTTACGAAGTCCTTAGTTGTTCCTTCTGATTTGAGCAAGATTTTTGAGAATGAAACCTTTTCAAAATTGAAGTATCTACTTTTATACATGGACAAACATTCAAGTACTCTTAAATCTTGGATTATCAATCTTCAATTCTTGAATTTAGGTGTCCATGTATGGATTTTTCCATAAATATATATTACAAAGTCGGGTTGTGCCCTAAGAAGTTATGACTGAAAATGATACATGCTTGAAAAGACT